AAAAAAAAAAAAAAAAAGGCAGAAAACAAGATGCTACAAGTATAGCCCAAACCAAAGGTCAGGACACAGAGAGAGAATTATTGGTCATTTCCTCGTATTTTCTTTTTAATGTTTATTTATTTTTGAGAGAGAGAGAGACAGAGCGTGAGTGGGAGAGGGGCAGCGAGAGACGGAGACATGGAATCCGAAGCAGGCTTCAGGCTCTGAGCTGTCAGCACAGAGCCCAATGTGGGGCTCGAACTCACAAACCGCGAGATCATGCCTTGTGCTGAAGTCGGACACTTAACTGACTGAGCCACCCAGTAGCCCCATCCTTCGTGTTTTCATATTACCACCTTGTCCCTGGGTCTTATTTCCTTTGCAGGTGATTTTCCTGCTGCAGATAATTCCTAGCTCATGACTTGATTCGTTGAATCCTCAATGGGAGACTTACCATATCAGAATCACTTGGGGACCTATTCCAAAATATATACCCACCTTGATCTCAAGATTCTGATTACTACTCCTCAGCCCAAATATGGGAGATCAGTATTGTTTAAAGCCTTTTTTTTTATATATAAAAAGGAGTATGTCAAATCTCTTGGCTGTACTGAAAGAAAGAAAATCAGGATTACTGCTTTAAGGAGCTATACAACTTCTCTTTTGGTCTCTATAGAAAAAAAAAAATTTTTTAAGTATTATCTGGACCTGGAACCTTTCCTCAATGGACTTAAAATGCCCAGACTATAGAAAGGGCCAGGTTGAGTTATAGGAGATGAAATGGAGACATGAGAGCCACAAGAACACATGCAATAAAAATGTTTACTTCGACCGGAAAGTGCCTGCACGGTCCACTGTGACTACCATTCCTGATGGATTCTTCTAAGAATTAAGGTATCTTGGGAACACCTGCGTCCCTTAGTTGGTCCCGTGACCAACTCTTGATTTTGTCTCAGGTCATGATCTCACAGTTCGTGGGTTCGAGCCCTGCATGGGGCTCTGGGTGGACAGCACCAGATCCTGCTTGGAATTCTCTCTCTCCCTGTCTCTCTCTGCCCCTCCCCTGTGCGTTCTCTCTCTCTCTCCCTCTCTTTCTCTCTCAAAATAAATAAGCTTAAAAAAAAAAGAATTAAGGTATTTTGGTGCATCAAAGTGATGCATTTTCTGGTGAATGCATTAGCCTGGATTAGTTCATCTCACTTAACACCTGCATTCACCAGCAGGGGGTTCTGAGGGAGCAGAACAAAAAGACATGCACGTTTTGATAATCAGGAGGAACTGAACACACAGTGGCTTTGTGCAATGTTGTAAGGGGTGCTAAGCAAGGAAGGGCCTTCAGGAGGTGCTGGGGGGAGAGGAGAGACCCGCCATCTTCAAAGACACAAACTGTGACTAGTTTATAGTTATTGAATAGGACCTTCCTGATAAATCATAGGGTGTTAAATTAATTGTACTTCATTAAGTGTCCTAATACAAGGTACAACATCAAATTAGTTTCAATATTTCATGATATTCTTTAAGAATATCATTTCCCCCAAAAACATACATATGCTTTTGTATACAAAGAGATTTCATTGGTAAATGCAATGTTAAGTATAGTCTCCACAGAGGATTACCAATAGAAATAATGTAAGGGAGCGGAAGATATAAGCAATGTAGAAAGTGAGAAAAGAGCGCACCTCGAGCCATCTTTCAGGGCATGGGGGCTCCCCTACGTTTGTCGCTCAGAGAACGCTGCCACCGTTGAATTGATCCATGAGTCATGCAAAAGGAGGAAAGTTGAACTTCCCCCACAGTTTCCTTAGAGCACCTTCATTGTCACAGCTGGTGGGGTCCAAGCCACCAAATCCTCCCTAGATGTTCAGCCTGAAGCCATGACAAAGAGCATGCCACCGTGTCTGCATTCACTGCAAGATCACTGCCCGGGAGACAGTGGCAGGAGTAATGGCTAGACATTTGGAAGGGGCAAACATCGGAGCAATTACGTCATACATTGTCCTCATCTTTGTCTGGAATACTCCGCCTTGAAGTATTATAAAATACATAGTATGAACTATGATGTTGTAGCTCAGAAGCAGTGTATTTTAAATGAGCGCAAAGGAAGAGGATTAGTGCTTTCCATTATTTATGTTTATCTTCACCTAGAGCGCCCTGGTGGCTCAGTCATTAAGCATCTGTCGTTGGCTCAGGCCACGATCTCACGGTTTGTGAGTTCGAGCCCCATATCAGGTGAGCTCAAACCCTGCTTCAGGTAAGGATGATCCCCACCTCGGGTAAAACACGAGCCCTGTTTGGGGTGAGCCCCATTTCTATCTCTCTCTGTCTCTGCCCCTTGTGGGATTGTCTCTCTCTCTCTCTGCCCTTTGCTCACTTGCGCTCTCTCTCTCTCTCTCAAAAAAAAAAAAAAAAAAAAAAAAAAAAAAAAGTATCATTCTGTATAACCTCGTATAACCCATTCTGTCCTAATAGGTAAAGTGGCCATGGGTTTTCTGAACTGATAATCCCTCCCCACACATATCAACACACGTATGTCCTTCTAAGTGACTTCTTTCTCTTTAAAAATACTGTTAAAATGTTTATGGTTCTTCAGGATTACATGTTGAGCTAAGATAATAAATATGTATAAATATGCAGATACTCTACCGAATCATTCCTGATCCCATTTGTATTTTCCAAGTTGTATAAGATAACCTTTGTGGCTTTCAAAAACATCTTCTCACACCCTAGGGGGCAAATTACCTCTATTTTCATTTCCTTTAGAGTTAGATCATTTTATAATTAAGAACTTATTGAAGCAGATTCTCCCCACGTGTAAGTTACTCCCTGGGGAGTAATTTATGCAAAGAGCACCTCTGACTTAATATCATATAAGCTTAACAACTGTACAATGGATACCTGGTATTTTTAGTCAATTTTGTAATCATTGTAAAGAATCCACTGTGTGAAAGGTTATCGCTAAAAAGAAAAAAAAAGTACAAATTATGTATAGTGTCATTCGTTTGTATTTTTTAAATAAGATTTTTAGTAAAGGAATAATAATGTGGCTTGTCATAATTCTCGTCCAATAGCATTAGAAATACCAGTTAATGGGGCGCCTGGGTGGCGCAGTCGGTTAAGCGTCCGACTTCAGCCAGGTCACGATCTCGCGGTCCGTGAGTTCGAGCCCCGCGTCGGGCTCTGGGCTGATGGCTCAGAGCCTGGAGCCTGTTTCTGATTCTGTGTCTCCCTCTCTCTCTGTCCCTCCCCCGTTCATGCTCTGTCTCTCTCTGTCCCAAAAAAATAAATAAACGTTAAAAAAAAAAATTAAAAAGAAATACCAGTTAGCAACGATTCTGACGCTGTTAAAAACTGACATTTTGTAGCTCTTCACTATTTGCAAGGCAGTTCTACATAAAATATCTCATTACACCTCACAAATCTATGAAGTTTGTCAGCTAACTTTATAAACCAGGAAACAAAATAAGACTTTTATCTTACCTATGGACCCAATCATTATCAGGTTCGGGACAGGAATCCAGGAAAACAGAATAGAAATTACATCAGATCTCACATGTTTTCCCCATATCACAAAATCTTGAAAACAAATACTAGTTCATATAATCTGAAAGCTGAAAAAACAGAAGCAATAGAAGTACTTAGTCTAATAAGTATTTTAGTTGACTTTGTCTCATCTCTTGATATTTTTATCATTGTCTCTTTAGCTGGCACTATTAGAATAATACAGAAATTTAAAATTGTATTCATGTTGTGTCTCTGTGGTAAGCAGGGAAAGGGTCACAGAACAAAATATCAGGAAAATTGGCTAATTTCTGGTTGCCATCTCCCAAATCAACTCAAAGGCATCATTAACCACTTGGATTCTGATTTTTCTCATATGAAAAATAGGCCATAATGCTGAATTTTTTGCTTATAAAGATGATTTGAACATACCGTGAAATATTGAATTTCAAAAAAAATTAAAGATGCTCTCCTCAAGCTAAGTATTATCTTTTTTAAAATGTAAAATAATAAGACAATGAGGGTTATGTCTTGCATTTATCTGTTTTGTATATTCAAGGGTGAGAAACTGTAGAAAAGCATCCACATGGCAGATTGATGTACAAAGCATTTTGAGGCATATTTTGCATAATTATTTTAAATTGGGAACGGGAATAGCAGATCTTCCTGGTGTGTATAATTTTAACAACACTTAGAATACTACCAGAGACATAGGAATTACTACATTCTAAATAAAGTTTATCTCGTGGATTCATCCATAACCTCAATGCCGATGCCTTAAAATCATCTTTCCAGAGGGTTCTGTATACAGGTGCTTGCACATGCACACATGCAAACTGGAAATCCTGTCCCCCACCCCCACCATGTTCCATAAAGTGGCTGCCTTACCAACAATTCCATTTGTGTCAAACCAACTGTTGAACCTCATCCTAAGGGTGAAGGTAGAAGTCATCTTTGGATTCTTCATCAGTTTCTACCTCTGTGTCCTTTCTTTCATTTATCTTCATAGAACTGTCCTTCTATTTGCTTCTCCCTCTCCGCTTATCCTGCCACTGACGTCTTCCACACTTCCATCTCCCGACACCGGCTTCGGAATAGCCTTTTAGTCTCCTGCCTGTTCCCAGTTAGCAAAGGTACCCAAGCCACCACTTTGATCCTGTCGTCACCCCGTTCCTTCCCTTGAACCCTTGTGGCCAGTGGTATCAGGTAGAAATTCCTCTGCCTAACTCCCAGGAGCTCCATAATCTCTTATCCCTCCCTCTACCCAACCATATGGCCCACGTCTCCAGTGGAGCCGAGGTGTTTGTCTCAACGATCACGAGCCACAGTCATTCCAGAAGTCCTTCATTCCATTCTGTTTGCAGAAACAGCCTTTTCCTTTCACTTCAGCCCAACAGTCTTCGGAATCAACCCTAATGTCTTCATCTCCACGAAATTATTTTCTTCGTATTGAAGTCATAGGAGCCACATGTTCTATCATTTTCTCCTGGTTTTTCCATGCATTAATTTTGTTTTATGAATGAAATAATCTGTGTCACTAATATATCTTGTGTCAACAACTTTTATTATTTTAGCGGGCGTATGGAGTGTGCTCAATAAATATTGTCACCACTGACATACTCGAAGTAAACATCCAGCCACGTTATTTATAAAATCACGCCCTTCCATTTCAGCTTTGCTTTGTTTACTTATTTAAAATACTGTTGAAATAAGGCAGCATGATAACACTCAGTGACTTGATGTTTGAAGTGCAAAATAAGAAAACCGAAGCCACTGGTTCAAGGGATTTTTTTAGTCTAATTAATAACCAGGTCAGGTTTATTTTTTTATTGTGTTTTTTTTTTAATTTTTAAGTTTACTTGTCTATTTTGAGAGAGAGAGAGAGAGAGAGAGCATGTGCAAATAGGGTAGGGGCAGACAGAGAGAGAGAAGGAGAGAGACAGGATCCCAAGCAGGCTCCAGGCTCTGAGCTGTCAGTGCAGAGTCCGATGCGGGGCTCAAACTCACGAACCGTGAGATCATGACCTGAGCTGAAATCAAGAGTCGGACACTTAACTGACTGAGCCACCCAGGCGCCCCAATAACCAGGTCAGGTTTAAAAAGGAGAAAGCAGGGGTGCCTGGATGGCTTAGTCGGTTGAGCATGAGACTCTTGGTTTCGGCTCAGGTCATGATCTCATGGTTTGTGAGTTCGAGCCCCACATCAGGCTCTGCACGGACAGCGCAGAGCCTGCTTGGGATTCTCTTTCTCCCTCTCTCTATCTCTTCCACTCCCCCTCAGCCTCTCACTCTGTCTCTTTCTCTTTCTCTCTCTCTCAACAATAAATAAAACAAACATTTTAAATAAATAAATAAATAAATAAAAAGGAGAAAGCAGTGAAGTAAGAGTTTAGAAGACTTCCGGTCCCTGGTTCTATTTTGTAGTTTTCGAAAAACAAAGCAAACCTTGGTAGATGGATAGATACCTTTCTCTTAGAAGAAGATTCAGGAAGCCGGGCCAATAGTGGTGAGTGAGCCCACGCCAGGGTCTTCCAACACTCAAGTCGTGCCAGGGGCAGGTGGGGAGGGAGCCAGGCAAGCAAAAGGAAGAAGCTCAAAATGTCTGTTTTCCCCTTGCAGCACAAATTGAAGTGATACCATGCAAAATTTGTGGCGATAAGTCCTCCGGGATCCACTACGGAGTCATCACGTGCGAAGGCTGCAAGGTAGGGGGACTTTGACAGGACACTGCCAACAGCGTCTGTGTTTGCCCCAGGCATCCGTGTATGTCACCGTGCGCGTGGTGACATCTTTTTAAAGAGGGCCTGCTAAAGGATTCTTGTGCTTGCTGCTGACACTCGGGAATCTCTGCTTGGTGTGTGGGTGGGTTGGCTTCCCGTTCCTGGCCTTTCAGCTCTTTGTGATCGTCTAACTGGTCAACCGCGACTGGAAAATGGATTGTTATTTAAGAGCTTGAATTATTCACATTTACAGAGATATAAATACTGCCTCCCGCTCTCTTTTAACTGTACTGCCTTCAGTAAACTCAAGGGCATTTATTACTGTATGAAACAACCAAAGGTTAAAGATGGCAAGCCAACGGCCTATGTTTCCTTATCTGCTTACAAAAGAAGTTCAAGGTAACAGTTGCAATATGCGTATGTTCATCCTTTATTCTCATATGCCAGAAAAAAATAAGTAGAGTCATGGAATGTTAGAAGGATACCAGATAATCTCTGAAGTAATTAAAAATTATCTGCCCCAACCTCCTCATTTTCAATGAGATAATGAAGTATAAACAAGATTATGTCATTCGGCCAACATCACTGATCTAGTTAGTGAAAGAGTATGGCCAAAAACACAGGATTTTTCATTCTTGGTCCAGCGTTCCCCTCCAAGGACATTGAACCAATCCTTCCAAAAACAAACTAATTCCTATGAGCAAGATGCTCTTAAAATACAAAGTTGAAAATAGCAGTTAACAGAGACTTAATCTGAAATAAGGGAAACTTGAAACTTCACAGTAAGTGTTTAAAATTCTTCCTTAGAAGGAAAAACAAGAGAGACTAAGTGTCAAGGGGGAAATAAGAAACAATTCCACACCTAATTTCAAAGGGCAACGTGTCACCGGAACAAAATGCAGTGTAATCTGGGAGTGAAAAGTGATATGTTGGCGAAGTTATTGATGAAAACAATCATATTTTTGATCAAAGATGCAAGCAGGGCGGGCGCCTGAGTGGCTCAGTCGGTTAAGCGTCTGACTTCAGCTCAGGTCATGATTACAGTTTGTGAGTTCGAGCCTCACGTTGGGCTCTGTGCTGACAGCTCAGAGCCTGGAGCCTGCTTCCGATTCTGTGTCTCCCTCTCTCTCTGCCCCTGCCCCACTTGTGTTCTCTCTGTATCTCTAATAAATAATTAAAACTTTTAAAATTTTTTAAAAAAGATGCAAGCAGAAAGAATTTAATATCAGTAGACTGTGGGCACTGGCTGACTCAGTCCATAGAGCATGCGTTGTGAGTTCAAGTCCCACATTGGGTGTAGAGATTACTTAAAACATTTTTTTAATTAAAAAAAACAAATAAGTAGCCTGAAAGAGATGTAACACGATCACGGATTCTAAGGACTAATCTTAATCCTCACAGAGTCAAACATACATGAGACAAAACATACCATAACTCTCCAGTAGTCATGCTATGAGAACACTTGACAAGGTCTTCATAATGGTCTCAAAAAGTATGAATTCTGAAATTGAAACTGAAGCAAAGAAAAGGAAAAGAAAGAAATGAAACTAAAGTGGGAAGAGGACACAGAGAAAGGAGAATAACGTGAATGTAACTCGCCCATCGACATCCTGACCTCAAAGGTGATTAGTGATAATCCATATTTGAACATCCTGAGATATTCCTTGTATTCCTCTGTTTGCTCTGCGGACCTATGATTAAGAACTGCATGTTATCCACCTTGATGCAAAGTTTTCAACTCATCAGAAGACACAATAAAGCAAAATTCCTAATCAGCAATTTTTTACCCTCCTTAGAGTAAGCTATTACTACCTCGGGGAGGTAGGCAAATAGTTTTCTTCATAAATGCTAATAATTTCGGAATCCAAACCCTCCAGAGAAAGCATTTCCACTACTGTGTTGGTTTAGTAGGTATTTTTAAGGCCTCTGGTCTAGTTTATTAAGTACCCACCAAGCATATATATTTTTAGATCAGTGTCAAAGTGGAGATCTGTGTCATTGTGAAAGCTCTATTTGGAAAATGCCCGATTTCAAAATAGGAAGGTATGTTCCTGTTAAAAAGCAAAACATTTTACACAGAAGGTTTAACTAACCTTACAAATATATTCCATAGACCAACAGCTAAAACAAGTGTGTAGGGTACGGCCATCTTTTCTATTTAAAGCAGGAAACACAATCAAAGAAATTATGCTGCTATTTTGAAGCATACTCTGAAGTTTTAGTCAAAATGACATTTTACGTGGCACTACTTTTTTTTTTTTATTTCATGGAAAAACCCACATTTGTAAATATGCTGTGTTTTTCTCCAACTGGAAATCTCAAGAAATTCCGTTTAGAATAAGATGTCAGTGTCAGCGCATTCGGTATCAACCTCTGAATTTTCATAATACCATTCTGAGTCAACATGAACAACCCATTTTAAATAACATCAGTTCAGCTTGCGCACTTAATTCAAATTCCTATTCATTCAATAACATTTGAAACAGAATCTCTTTTTCGTGCCAAAAACCTCATTTGCAATAATGAGCAACAGATAAGCAAGAAATGCCTCGTAATTAATGTCAAATTGGCCTTAAATTAGGCCTGTAGCTGTGACTTTAGAAGTCTTCTCTGTCAGCTCTTTTGCTAAGTGGCACTGGAGTATCCGAAGATAAAAAACCACCAATTCTTTCTTAAAATGTAAATTCCCAAGTCATCTTTCACCAAGACTGATGGGCCAAAGTTTCGCTTTCTGACACCTTTGCTGGCACAGATCTTCCTTGACTTACATGGGGTCATGTCCCTATAAACTCACTGAGCGGAACACATCTTAAGTCAAAAATGCATTTAATACACTTAACCCAGTGGACATCATAGCTTCGCCTAGCCCACCTTAAATGTGCTCAGAACACTTGCTTTAGCCTACAATTGGGCAAAATCGCCTAACACAAAGCCCCTTGTGTAATAAAGCACGGAATGTCTTATGTAATTTATTGAATACTGTACAGAACATGAAAACCAGAATGGCTGTGAGCGCTATCGGTCATTGACCCCCACAATCGCTGGGCTGACTGAAGCTGTGGCCGCAGCCCTGCCCAGCGTCACAAAAGAGCATCGTGCTGTCTCTCACTAGCCTGGGAAAAGATCCAGATTGAAAATTCGAAGTATGATTTCTACTGAATGTGTATTGCTTTCAGACCATCTGTAATGTCGAAAAATCGTAAATTGAACCATTGAAGTCAGGGACCGTTTGTATATGGAGTACGTCCTTTCAATCCCTGGCAGCTTGGATGGGATCTCTGTTTGAAAGGGCTCTGTGAATTCATTCACACTGGACAGTTGGATATCTCATCCTGCCACCGCTGGTCCGTGGGGACCAAATTTGTCCTTGTTTTGAATGGCTTCGGGCTTACAACACAAAACCAGTTGGTATTTTTTTCTCTCTTGTCCCATTTCCGAGTTACCCATTTCCGAAGTTCTTCATAAGAGTGGCAAGCTCACAGGGCACCTGGGTGGCTCAGTCGGTTAAGTGTCGACTTTTGGCTTTGGCTCAGGTCATGATCTCGCAGTTTCTTGAGTTTAAGCCCTGAATCCGGCTCTGTGCTGGCAGTGCAGAGCCTGCTTGGGATTCTCTCTCTTCCTCTCTCTGCCCCTCACCCGCTCACACCATCTCTGTCTTTCTCAAAATAAATAAACTTAAAAAAAAGAAAAGAGTGGCAAGCTCTCTTTATAGTGACAGGCCATGTCATAGGAGAGCCCAAAACTAAAGGAAAATCGATGATCTTGATCCTTTTGAAACTTTTTGGGGTGTTTTACATTAATGTTGATTCTTAATATATTGTGTTAAAATATTACTTATCCTGATTGACAGGTTTTTTGGCAATCCTTAAATTTGTGGCCTGACTATCCACAGCCTAGTCCCAGCCCTGCTCTGTCCTCCTGCTGATAATCGAGGAAACCCCGATTTTCCTCTTTAGGGTTTTCTTTTCTTTTTTTTAACGTTTTCTTTAATTTTTTTAATGTTTATTTATTTTTCAGAAAGAGAGAGAGAGACAGAGCATGAGAGGGGGAAGGCAGAGAGGGAGGGAGACACAGAATCTGAAGCAGGATCCAGGCTCCGAACTGTCAACACAGAGCGTGACCTGGGGCTCGAACCCACAAACTGCGAGATCGTGCCTTGAGCTAAAGTTGGATGCTTAACTGATTGAGCCACCCAGGAGCCCCCTGCTCCACCTTTAGGGTTTTCTGTATGGTAATGCACCATAGGTGCATGGTATCCAAAGAATTTTTTAATTAAAAAAATTTGTTTTAAGTTTATTTATTTTGAGAGAGAGAGAGAAAGCAGGAGTGGGGGAGGAGCAGAGAGTGAGGAGAGAGAGAGAATCCCAAGCAGGCCCTTCACTGTCAGTGCAGAGCCTGATGTGGGGCTCGAACTCACAAATCATGAGATCATGACCTGAGCCGAAGTCAGACAACCAACTGAGCCACCTAGCCACCCCAAAGAAATTTTTTTAATAATTAACTCAGTTATGGATTTATTTAGAATGGTAATGGATGGTTCATGGCAGTTAACTGTGTACCAGAAAGAAACCTAACTTGCACGAAAACCTCCTACATCTCTATAGTCTATTTATTGCTTATTCTTATTGAACAGTTTATATATACCATATTTGCTTTATTTAAAAATATGGTTAATTATAAGGCACATCACTGGTTTAAAAAAAACAACCTTGCAGATGCCTTCTGGACATATTTAAAGTTTTTCAAATGGGTAAAATGCTTCTTAGAAACCGGGAAGATATTGGCACATGCTGAACCCACCCTCCTCAGTACGGCTCTTGTGACCAATGTCCCCCACAGCACTTGACATAAGCCTGTGTTATTTTCCTCCTCAAGTTTTGTCATATTTGGCTTAGCAGTGACACTGTCCTCTGCCATTCCTTTGATGGCCGGAACCCTGTCCTGTTTTTCTTTGCAAAGAACACAGTGCACAAATGTCTTTAGTAAACACTGATTAAATGAATGAATGAAAGATGCCTTCCTATCTCTGTAGATGGTACATATTTGCCCCCAGGCAAATCATCTGTAAGATATCCAAGGAGAAGTATCCAAAAAAAGTTGTTGTTTTTTTTTATTAAACTCCATTACATTCACGGTAGAAAATATAGCAAATGTGTATGTTAATTGTCTCAAACATGTATGTTAATTATCTCCGTTTTCCTTCTTATAAATAATATCTCCCTCCATTCTCTTTTCTTCTAGGGATTCTTCAGGAGGAGCCAACAAAACAATGCCTCTTACTCCTGCCCAAGGCAGAGAAACTGTTTAATCGACAGAACCAACAGAAACCGTTGCCAACACTGCCGACTGCAGAAGTGTCTTGCCCTCGGGATGTCGAGAGATGGTAAGACATGCCTTCCAGGTTCTTACTTAAAGGTTTTCACGTGGGGCGCTTGGGTGGCTCCGTTGGTTAAGCATCTGACCTCAGCTCAGGTTTTGGTCTTGTGGTTCATGAATTCAAGCTGTGCTGGCAGCTCAGAGCCTGGAGCCTGCTTCAGATTCTGTGTCTCCCTCTCTCTTTGCCCCTCCCTTTCTGACATATTCTCCCCCCACCGCACCCCCCCCTCAAAAATAAATAAACATTGGTAAAAAAATTAAAGACTTTCACATGGATGCTTTGCTGGAGTCTATTTAAGCCATTGGAAGGATTTTAGACAAAGGGAATTGGAGATAAAAAGACAAGAAAACGATGTGCTGGTAGAACTTCTAAAAACTTCATATTGCCCATGAAATAGGAATACAGGAAAGACTTTGCTGGAGCTAATGGAGCAAGCTGTACTAATAAGGTTAGGTGAAAGCCACATTGGCCTAGGTTCAAAAGTTTGCATGTGCATGAGTGGTTCCTAGGATGTGAGATTTTTCAGAGCTAAAACCAGGGAACATGCCACGCAAACCAGGACCATTTTGTCACTGGGTGAGTCTGACTAGTACATGAGTTGCTTGGTGTGTGGAGAGATTAAGCAGCAGAACCTACTTCCATAGGAAGCCCAGAAGCCCTACTATTATTGGCCATGGACTTTGTAAAGCATCATGAAAATTTCAAAAGCCATAACATAAGTCCAAGCCTTAAAAGGGCTGTGTAACTCGTGTCCTTCTCAGAATATGACCCAAATGGGTGAGCTGGGCCCCCCACTGATTTTCTTAGATTAATTAAAGAAGACAAATAAACACACACAAAGAATTTTATCTAGTGTTGCTTCCATTTTTAAGCACTCGTCTAAACTCATTATCTCCCACCCTACCCCCACCCTCTCACCCCCGACACTGGCTACAGCACTTCTGTATCAGACTGTGAGCCACCCTGAGTCCTGAGGGCACTTCTGTCTTGTTCTCACTGTATCCTCAGGATCTGGTTAAAGGCAGGCACCTAAATGTTTGTTGAATGAACCATGGAATTCTCTTTTACCTAGAGCCTGAGACAGACAGTTCCCCTGGTACTTATTCTCTTTATGTGAATCATTGTAGATTCTCTACTCCTGGTCACATTCTTCTAATGAAGTTCAAGGTAGTGTGGAAGGAAGGAAGGAAGGAAGGAAGGAAGGAAGGAAGGACAGAGAGATGGAGGGAGAGAGGGAGACTTCCAGATCTTAAAGAAATAGGGCTAATTGGCATACACCATTTCTTGGTATATAGGGAGTTTTATGAGTTATTAAATTAAATGTGAGCCTTTTACTCATTTGGATAGAATCTGTTCTGCATAAGTCTTGATATCTAAACCTAAAAACTGCTTACTTCTTAGCTTGCATTCTCCAAATACTTATATCATAAAAGTTTACCTTTTTTTCTACTTCCCATCCCACCTAAACTTGTATTGCATAAAAGTATACCTATGAGGCAAATTGGATCCAGAAAATAAAAAGAATTTGACCTTGAGCCCTTCAGTTTAGAGGTAGCTTCTGAAACTGCAGAGATATGTTTCCAAGCTTTTCTATTAACTACCTGACTTTGTGTTTATTTGCTTTTCTAGACTTGCTAGCCATGTAAATATACTCCTAGGGTGTGTACTTTCACATAACTAAAGTGAAGAAAGTGGAAGGTGGGGATTTAGTGGTTTTAAGCACTTATTTAGTGCAATTCTACGGGAACTTTAGTTGATGATTTTGTACTTTGTTTCTGCTATATGGAGGCAGCATATTAATTGACAGTATATGAAAAACTCCACTAATTGTGCAAAGAGATTGAGCCATTGGTTATTTTTCTTTGTTACTTCTTCCTACAATAAAAGGAAGTGTCTCTTTTGGAAGGGCAGATCTTCGGTCTGTACTGGTGAACAGAATCATAGACAAGAGATGGGCTTATGGTCCAATGTCTACAAAATCTAGGAGATTGTTTGAATACCATGGCAAAAAAAAAAAAAAGTGTGTTGGGAGGGAGGGTCATTTAATGGACAGAGCCACGATCTTTTCTCAAGGGGGAAGAAATGTAGTGTAGCATATAAACTTGCGAGTAAAAACAATACAGTGTCTGAAGATACTGGAGATTCAGGATAATGACCCATCTTGGTTTTAGATCCAGAGACCATTCTGAGGATGCCAGGGACATCCTCCAAAATACCTCCTAACTGTGTCTTATGTAAAACTAATGACAAGGAGAAATGCTCCAGGGTAGGAGCGGTGGTTGGAAATGAGGATAAGAGGTTCCAGCAGAAGGAAAAAAAAAGGATTCTTCCTAAGGGAGAATTCTTCCTGTTACGCAAGAGGAAGTTTCGTCTGAACCTTGATTACAAAGAGTATTTCCTTTATACCAAATAAATTCTACTAATACCAGGGTAGCTGAATAGGTTTTATCTCCTGTTTGATATGTAATGTCTGGCCTATGGTATTGATGGCTTAAAAATCCCTGAACTTATTGGTGATTACCTATTTGTAGTGAAGACCCAGCAATGAGAGCTGGGACTTCCCCTGCCATTAATTGATTATATTTACCTTCTACTGGTTGAGCAGGTATTTTCAAAGTGCTTTCATAGTGGTGCTAGTAGCCAAGTTCAGATGCCCTCATACCTAGCTTCTTTCCACATACACCTTGCCCACGTTCCTTCAGACACAAAGTGGCATCTTCATTTTGATAATCGCATTTGTTTTCTGTCAGGGATGCATGGCACCAAGATTGTTTATTTTACCTACGTGGCCACTGAAAAACCATGGATGGCTACTTGTAGATAGCTTGATATAACTTTTAAAATCCCTGGACTTTCATTCTGTCCTGAATTTCCACTTTGATCATGGTTTATTAGCCATGGCACATAGATGAGTGGACAAAAAAATTCAGCAGTAACAGATTTGTTCAAATTTAGTTTGGGCAGAGAATCAAAAATCAAATCCACTTGGAATATATACGCGTGTGTTTATGTGTAAAGAAAGGTGAAACCGGGACGCCTGAGTAGCTCGGTTGGTTAAGCGTCCGATTCTTGATTTCAGCTCAGGTCATGATCTCAGGGTCATGAGTTCAAGCCCCGCGTTGGGCTCCTCACTGGGCGTGAAGACTAGTTAAAAAAATTTTTAAAGGTGAAGACATGCATGTATTTATGTGTGAGAGCTGATAGCATTTATATGCCCATCACATATTCTCCACCATCATATTTACTTTTCTTTTTAACTGGAAGCTTCATAAATGTTAGTTGCAGGAATCTTTAGGATAAACTGTTTCCAATCGTACTAGTACAAACAAACAAATAAAAACCAGAAAAATGTTTGGTGTCCGTAGGAAGATACTGAGCCCCAAAGAGAAAACATGATACTCACATTGCAATAATTGAATAGGCATCCTCCTAATGATATGTAAGTAGCTACCTTACGAGGACAGATTTCACAAATTAGGTTTCTATTTATCCAGAACAGCATTGTCCGGTATCCAGAATGGTAGCCACATGTCACTATTTAAATTTAAATTAATTAGAATTAAATACAACTTAAAATTCACTTCTTCAGTCACACTAGCTGTATTTCAAGCGCTCAATAGCCCCCATGTGCCTGTGGCTACCATTTTGGAAAGCATAGATGACATTCGATCATCACAGGAAGTTCTATTGGAAAAGGAGAGGGATGTGAGAGAATATTTTGAAATTAGGAATAAGGTTGGGTAGATTGAATCTGATCTTTTCTACAAAGCTTGGAGCACTATAAAAAAAAAAGGCACATCCTTGAAACTGAAAAAAGTTAAATTAAGACCAGTTTACTTGGGAAGCAACAAGATACGAGCATGGTGAACTTTACAGCCAGAAGATTGTGAGATACAATAATTTCCAAAATGACTACAGAAAGTCACAGATGATAGTTCTACAATTGGGCTCTCTTGAAACCAACAGCATATATCTAGTTGTCGTGTGTTGGTAAGCAGAAATCTTCAAAGAAGCAATGACTTTGTTTTACAGTTACTCCAAAAACTTCCATTCCACTTAGAATGCCACAATCCAAATAAAAATGAAAAGATCCCCGATACTTTGCATAAAATTGTTCTTTGCTAGCATGAGATCAGAGTGAGTGATAAGAGCATATCATGAGTAAATACCACCATCACTGAATATTTATAAGGCACTTGCAATGTATACAGAATCGTGCAAGTTTCTTTGAGAGCTAGCAGTTTAACAAGAGGCTGCCTCTATACTCAAGTGAAAATCATTAACAGAATGATTCAAGTCTGAGAGGGGCAAACACTTAAAACATGTGCCATTCTGATTAATGGGTAGTGGTAAGAAGAATGCTAATCCTTGAAAATAGAACAGTAATACAGCCTTTGTTAAAAATACCCCTATGAATACAACAAATGTTTTTACAGATAGTGACAAAGGGATTCTATACATGTCAGGAAAGTTGGGTAGATTTATTTGTTCCATATACCGTAACTGTTTTCCCTAAATATGCCATTACTTTTATGATAGGAAAGGGGCACAAAACCACTAGGACATCACTGTTTCTGACATGAATGGAAAAATCTATTCTAAAATAATATTAGAGTAATTGCCAGCAAAGTTCTTTATTTAGAATGAAGTCTGTTAGTTCCAAAATGTAGTGGAGCTTTAGGTCGTCTCTGAAAATATTTCAGTTTGCTCAGTGACCTGATAAGTCAATACCTTGGAAAAGGCATCACTATTCACCATTGGGTTTTCAGATGTTTACCAGGACAGAGGTCTTGACAGCCTACTGATTTGACATTGTTTGCCTGGATTATGAGATCTATGGTCAACAGCAGATTTCTGGACCTAAAATTAGTAAATGTAGAGTCTTAACTGGGTTCGCTCATTCATCAGCTGCCAGCTAGAGGTCAGTCTGTGCCTCTGCTGAGGGTAGATGGCCTTCTCTGGAAAGACCTTATCGTCTAGCAAGCTAGTGCAGGCACATCCTTTTTGTGGTGAGAGATTCAGTCACCTAAGAACTTTTGTAGCTTCTGTTTGTATCACATATGTCAGTATCTCACTGGCCCAAAGCAGGTCACATTGATGAGGTTTTTGAGGGGTGACAGTGGGGCTCATGGGGTCCAGAGCCGACAACCAAGAAAGAATTCTTGAAGATGTCTTTTGGTGCAAAAAAAGTGATTTTATTAAAGCATGGGGACAGGACCCGTGGGCAGGAAGAGCTGCCAAGGAACCAGGAGAGACTGGTTATATACTGTGGGGTTGGGGGAGGTAAAGTCCAGGGGAAGTTTCCAGAGAGATTTTCGTATGCTAAAGACTCACAGGGTACTGGAGGCTGAGCTGTTGTCAAGCTAAAGTTGTTTTCCCTCTAGCAAAGCATTAACATGAAGACAGTAAGGAGTTAGTTCCTGGAGAAACATTTTACTCTGCCTGCCTCAAGTATTTATCAATGCGCTGCAGGCCATAAGGAAATGGAGTTCTATATGCCATTTCCTTCAGCCTTTATTTCCCACAATCACTCTGGAGGGGTGATGGAGACTTTTAGGTCCTTCAGGACTATGATCTCTATCATTTTTTTCCCCCTTTCCTTTGTTCTTGGGCAGCCAGGAGTGCCTGAG